ATTGAATTGCAGTATTTTATGTGAAAAGAGTTTAACTTTATAGAAAAAACAAAAAAAAGTACTTTAAAAGCATTCTTATTATTTTTTAAATCGTGTCCACTATTACCGCACAATTTGAAGCTTGTTCATGTTAGTGTGCCCCTTCAAGCGTATGTTTTTTCTAACCTCTGTCTTGTTGTGGCATGAGTTCGAGTCAGGTTGCTCACCAAAAACAAATCAGGTAGAATTAACATATTTATTTTTTAATGAGTAGGTACTTATTGTACTCTTAAAACATATTAATTTATTATTCTTATTATAACAGTTACTAAAATAAGCGGCATCTCAAAAATAAAGAGAAAAATATATAGTAAAGAGGCTATGTTGAAAGCTTTGGAAGCTGTAAAGTCTGGAACATCTATTAATGCAGCCAGCAGACTTTATAACATTCCTCGGTCGTCAATTCATAGTAAAGTCATCAATAAATACAGCAGAGATAAGCCTGGTCCAAGTAGTGTGTTGAGTGACTTAGAAGAAAGTGATTTAGTAAAATGGATTTTGTTTATGTCTTCTCGTGGCTGTCCAGTGACAAAGGACCATTTAATAAATAGTGTGGCAATGATCGTAAAAAAACTGAATAAGCCGAATCCATTTGTAGACGATCGTCCAGGACGGCATTGGTATGCTGCTTTTTTAAAAAGACATCCCGAATTATCGAAGAGAATGTGTGAAAATGTTACGCTCTCTCGAGCGTTAGTTTCAGAAACTTCTGTGAAAAAATGGTTTCAAAATATAGATGACTATTTAAAAAAAGAACAGTTACAAAATATTGATCCCTCAAGAATATTCAATACGGACNAAACAGCTTTAATGCTGAATCGTAAAGGAAGTGCTGTTTTGGCAGAAAAAGGATCCAAAAATATTTACAACATTGTGAATAATAATGAAAAAGAAAATGTAACCGTGCTTGTTACTGCTAATGCAGCTGGGCAATTAGCACCAACCATGGTTGTGTTTGCATATAAACGTGTGCCTTCTTCCATTTACGTTACAATGCCAGAAGAATTTTGTGCTGGACATTCTGATAAAAGTTGGATGACGGCAACACTGTTTTTTGAGTATATTGCTAATAAGTTTTATCCTTGGCTCATAAAAAGTGGCATTACACTGCCAGTTATTCTTTATTTGGATGGACACGTATCTCATTTGACACAACCGTTGAGTGAATTTTGTCACTTGCATCAAATAAATTTGATTGCCTTACCACCAAATACCACACACTTCTTGCAGCCCATNGATGTTAGCTTTTTTTCCCCGCTCAAAAGTTATTGGAAAAAAATGGTCAACTTATACAGAATTGATAAAGAAATTTTAAGTGTGAAAAAGGAAGACTTTTTATCTTTGCTCAAAAAAGTGTTTGATGGCATGAATTTGCAAAAGATTCTTTCAAATGGATTTAAAATCTGTGGTCTTTATCCGTTCAATGTAGGAGCTGTAGACTTTTCGAAAGTATTTATAAGACAACAAAATATGTCTACAGAAAATGAGCAGGCAGCTACTGATATTGAAATAAACTCAAGTGCCTCTTTTCTTAAAAATTTTGACAAGTATATTGATACAAATACGTTGGAAGCATTTAGATCTAATATATCTAATGAATGGACNGGTGCAACTGAAGATAAAAATCTTTTTTTTGTTTGGAAGAAGATACAAACAGATTCTCGTAAAAACCAGATTAATACTTTTGAATTTTTAGATGTAAGTGTAAGTAATCATTTTATTATATATAATCCAGAATATACCTAATTGTTTTAAATCTAAAAATTAATATCAACAATATTTTTGCAGCAAGCTAGCTCACCAATCGAAATAATGTCTGAAATACCACATGAAATCAAAGAAAATAAAATTATTGAGATGGCACAAGAAAGAAGTTTGCAACCAGTAAATTAAAAATTACTTCTATCTAATTACAAAACACTTCTAATCTATTGTAATATTAAGTTACCTTAAGTTTTAATCAAGATAAATTAAATAGATATGTATAAAATATTTAATAAAACACTAATAAACATTATCAAATTTATTAACATTTGCAGTAAAAATACTGCACAATCAGTTTACAGAATTAAATACTAATAAATAGTTTTTCTACANGTGGTTGATAGAAGTAACAATTCTAGTATTCATTTACTTGTTTATGAGGTTGATAAAGAAAATTCTGTACAATCACAAGATGTCTTATATGATTCAGTGAAGTTATTACAAGATACACCATGTGACCCTCTGCAATTATTGCAAAATACTTCAGATAATTCTCTACAATTATTACAAGATAATTTATGTAACTCTCTGCAGTTATTGCAAAATTCGAGTGATTCTATACATTTCTTGCAAGATAATTGTGATAGTACAAGAAATGCAGGAATTTATGGCAAAGAAACTTTTTCCAAAAACTTACAATCACCGGAAAATAGTCAATTAAAAAATTTTATATTTTTGCCAAAAGAAAATATTAATCCAAAACAAAAGAGAATACCAAACAAAAAAACTAAATTACCATCGGTATTATCTTCTTATGAAAGATTACAATGGTATAAAGAACAAGAAAAAAGAAAACAAATAATAGAAGACAAAAAAGAAATGAACAGAAAAATAAGACAGGAAAAACTGAAAATAAAAAAAGAAGAAGCTGAAAATAAAAAACAGGAGAAACTTCGAAAAAAGGAACAGAAACAAAAAGAACAGTACAGAAACATAAAAAACACGAGAAAAAGAAACTTAAACTAAGTATCTAAAAGTAGTATTATCTATTGATATTCATTGCAAGTTTATCTACTTATTTATGATTTATGTTTATTTACAAAAAACGTATAAAATTATAACAGATATATAGTAAATTTTAATCTAAAAGTTAATAGAGTTATTTATTTACTTATTAAAAAAGTAAATAAAGTAAAAAGTACCTTAAAAAGAATTATTTTATGCAATTAAGAGACTTAAATTATTTTATGTTTATTATTGTTTATTTATGTTTATTTTTTGAAGCATTGTAATTTATTTTGGTTGAATAAAATATAGTTTTATTAAAAATACATTATGTCATTTTATTCAATTAATATCTTATATTTTTACATTTATGTAATTAATGACCTATAAAAGATGCTCAAGTGTTTTAGCTTTTATTTATAACATAATATTCTCAATTATATAATAAAATATATTTAAAAAAATAAAAACTAAATAGTATAATAAAATTGTTTTTAAATGTGCCCCAAAATATACTATCCGAAAGAGACACAGTAACTGCGAACTCACAGTCCAGGACAGGTACACAGTAACTGTGAGCACACAATCCGAGACAAGCACACAGTAACTGTGAGCACACAATCCGGGACAGGCACACTAACTGGGAGCACAGTAATACATTCTTTTTGTCTCGAAAAACACATTAACTACAGCAACATTTAACTTCTTTCTTTCATTAAAATTTATATGAAATTGTAATATTTTTTATTACAAAAAAATATCTTGATAAAAAAGAAAGTCTGAAAAATGAGTATACAGTTTTTTCTATTTAAACTGAAGTTAAAAACTTGTGTAATTAATCGATATCTAAAAAAATTTATTTCATGGCACACTAACTGGGCCCACTATCCTACAGTGGCTGCTATTTTTTGATCCACAGATTCCATCTGTGGAGTGTACCAATAAACACATCTTTTTATTTAACACAGCTTCTACATTTCACTTCACTAATACAGTATACACATACTCACACGCTATCGAATGGTCGAATTGTGATAAGTGTACATGTAATGACGATAAAGATTGTAATAACTTTTTACTAATAATTTTCATCAAATCGGTCCAGATTGTTATAGCTTCTTAAAAAAAGTTTGAAATTTTCGAATTAAAAACGTGTGTACAGGACAACGTCTGTCGGATCCGCTAGTATATATATATATATATATGTACACGCATAGTTTCCGCACAAACATCCTGCAAATTGCTTGTATCGGCCTTATTTGATTCCTGTTGATAAAATTTTATATTTTGCAACAATATATATTATGTGCGCACTTAAGTTTTCGCTGTTTTTTTTGAAAATGCAACTTTATTGTGAAAAACTGGTTACAAATGAATCATTCAAAGTATTGCCCATCGGTAGCTACAACTTTTCCCCGTTTTTCTGAGAGAGCTCGAATACCGTTACGGTAAAAGTGTTGGGCTTTTGAGGCTACCCACGAATCAAGCCATTTTTTGATGTCTTCATATGAGCGGAACTGCTGGTCAGCCATACCATGTGCCATCAAACAGAACAAGTAATAATCGGACGGCGCAATATCTAGGGAATATGGCGGGTTGGGTAGGACTTCCCATTTGAGCGTTTCCACGCAGGTTTTAACGGGTTTGGCAACATGAGGCCGAGCGTTGTTATGTAGTAGAATCACTTTTTTGTGCCTCTGCTCGTATTGTGGCCGTTTTTCGCGCAGTGCTCGGCTCAGTCGCATCAATTGAATGTGATACCGTTCCCCAGTGATGGTTTCGTTCGGTTTCAACAGCTTATAATAAATAACACCAACCTGGTCCCACCAAATACACAGCATAACCTTCGCAGTGTGAATATTCGGCCAAGCCGACGACGTAGAAGCATGACCGGGCAGTCCACATAACTTTCTTTTCTTTGGGTTGCTGTAATAAATCCATTTTTTATCACACGTCACGATGCGATGAAGAAAACCCTTCTTTTTTTGCCGCTGGAGCAGTTGTTCACAGGCGAAAAAACGACGCTCAACGTCCCTTGGCTTCAAATCATAAGGAACCCAAGTTTCTTGCTTTTGAATCATTCCCAACGCATGCAATCGCTTGGAATTGGCTTGGCGGGTAACTCCTAAAGCTGAAGCAAGCTGTACTTGCGTTTGGCATAGATCCTCATCGAGCAATGCTTCCAATTCAGCGTCTTCGAAGGTTTTTGGCCTTCCTTCACGCGGACAGTCGTCAACATCAAAATCACCGTCTTTGAAGCAACGGAACCAATCACGGCACGTTGTTTTACTTAGAGCAGCATCTCCGTAAACTGTTTGGAGCTCTCGATGCGCTTCAGCCGCCGTTTTCTTTGAATGAAATAAGAAAATCAACATTTTCCGAAAATGACGATTATTTGGTACAAAATCAGACATATTCACACAACCAAAAGTATATAACGCCAAAACAAAATCATTAACGTTTCAAAGCGGTTTATTTACCATATGTTTAAGCTTGGTTCGTGACGTTTTGGATATGTCAAAATCAATCAGCACTTACTGCTGGAGTCATCTAGTGACAAACAGCGGGAACTTAGTTGTGCACCTAATAGAAATGTACAGTATTTTACTTTGCGCTACTTCTTGATATCATTTCTTTTGTAGAATAGATTTTGTAAAGAAAGATTTTTATAGTAATATTTTCTAGAGATATACGAGTTGCGCATGTACTTGGCGCCTTTTTTTACCTTTTTTTGAAAAGGTATTTTGTTCGGAATATCACACATTTTTGTGGAATATGTTTTTAACAAACACTTTTTTCAACACAATACAATGTATTTCTACATAATAACAATAACATATATATAACAAAATAATACATAGAACAAAGTGTTTAAAGTACTTCTATGAAAAATAATTTTGTCTGTGAATTCTAATCATATTCGGCAAGAAATTTGTGCTATTGTTTTTATCTGACGCAAAAGTATTAAAATGGTTAAGCAATTAAATATTTTCTTTTATTTGGGTTTAATTTTTCTTAATTTTTTCAAAAAAAAAGTATGGAAATATTTTTAGCGCCTCTAGGCCATTTTGTTTTATTAACCTTTTCGCTCCGGGACTGGTCCATATATGGACCAACAAGAAAAGCGAACGTAATAGATGTTTATAAGGTCACTTTATTGCACTAAATTTAGGAAAAAAATTAAAAAAAATCCTGGTTACTTCTTTGACCTTCAAAATTAAATTTGAAGGTCAAACAATGAAAATGCGTATGTGCGCTTGAAAATTGGTATACCTATGTTTTATAAGTCGCTGAATACGATAAAAGTAGTAAAAAAATTCTAGTGACTTTTTTAACCTTGAACTTTGAAGGTCAAAATATGAAAATGCGTATTTGCGCTTGAAAACTTGAAAATTGGTGTACCTAGATTTTATCTGCTATAGTAAATAAGAATATTAGTAAATAAGTCTAACTACCTCACCGACTTTGAAGTTTGAAGATCAGTATGTGCAAAACATTATCTTTTCTGAAAATCAATAAACAAACGTTTTTGGTAAGTTGAGGTGACACTAGCTCTATCAAGATTGTCTTGTCATCTTTGTTTAGTAAGTTTGGATTATATGTACTGAATGATAACATATGTATCTGTATGTTTTTCATTGTGTAGTATCTAGAAGTAATAGCTATGTCAAGGTCAATTTTCTTACATTGGTAATTCTATAAAAACATTTCTCTGTGCACTTGTTGAAAAAACTGATTTTATAGGTGAACTCCAGGTAAAAGTATCGGAAAATTGTCATTTTTAATAGCATTTGACAACGAGATAGTATTTAGTTATTTTTCACACTTCCACGTATATATTCTAATTAGCATAGTAATTGTTCGTTATTGTTATTACATTTTGCTATTCAAGAAGTGTTCCATCACTTATCTTTGAGATAATGGCTGACGACGAAGCTTGGACAAGCGGCGAATCTGAGCCAGAGGAAAGAGACTCTGACGATGAAGAAACATATGGTATTGATTTAGAAGATTTAGAAGATGTGGAGTATGTCGAAGATCAAATTTATGAAGACTCGT